AAATTAGTGTTTTACTATTATGTTACATCTCTACAGACCACATGTGGTGCTCTTTCAGGCATCTTAGGGCTAGGGTTAGGGTTAGTGTTATGGTTTGTGTCTAGATGTCCCCTCAAAGCCTCATGCAGTTATCGGGGGCAGGCTTTTTCAGAGGTAGTCAAATCTAGAGGTTGTGATCGACCCATGGTCCAATCCTGGGATTAAGGATGCGAGTGCTACACATCCCTTAGGGCAGGTAGCCTATACAGAGTATAAGGGACAGAAAGAGTTTGTCTCTGTTGTTGCTTTTGTTGTTTGTCCCAGATGTGAACAACCGGTTGCCCCTCTGCTAAGAATTAAACTGGCACCAGGCATGGTGGTACATACCTGTAATACCAGCTGTGAGTTCAAGGCCAACCTGGGTTACCTAGCAAGACTCTGTCTCAGAATTTTAAAATTGCCAAAAAATTCCTATTTAATTATGTTGGCTATTAAGGTAAAACATACTTTTATATTTAAAATACCAGGAAAATATTAAGTATCTTTTTTTAGGTCCTCCACAGATCATCACTTTAACAATTTTGCATATCATATTTCTCTCCAAGTTTCATGATTAAGAATAACATTTTTAGATGCATACTCTATAAAACTAAGAAAATTCCCTATCTGTTAACATGAATACTGAATCTAATAAGAAAGCTTTTGCCAGACTCACTAAGGTAATCAAATTCTAAGTGAGCATGTGGTTATCTTATTTAATAGATTTCCTGTAGGTGAATCATCGGCAGATGCCTGCCATAAACTTTATCTTGTCATGTTTGTTTTTTTCTTTTTTAAATAAACCCACTTTATCGAAGTTTCATATATTTATAACTTTTGTGTCAATGTTTATAAGACTGGCAGAAATTTTTCTTTTACTTGTTCAGCTGTGGTCTGAGTTTGAAACGTTTTCTTAACATTAGCATTAAGGAAACGAAGGGTTAGCATTGGTTGTTTGCTATTACAAACAATAATGAGAGATATCATAAATCTCTGTGTTTCTAATTGTTTCCTTAGGATGAAAGATAAAAATATGTAATTACATAACCAAACCACCACCTTACAGAAACCCTTATAACTTATGCTTATGAAAATAATGAATTTTGCATTAGTACACATGTATGTATAATAGTTATTATAAAATTGCCACTAAGAACACCAGAGTAACCTGTTTTTAATTTTGCACAACTCCATTCCCACCAAGTTTGGATTTTGCTTTATTATAAACTAATATGTATTGAAAGCCATTGTTTCTTCTCACATCTAATTCTTTACTAAGTATCAATTGCCATTCTTACTATATTGCTGAATTGTCTCATAAAAATTTCCCTCAGTCTTAAAAACTTTGAGACAGAAAAGCTTCATGAAAATTAATGTTACTTAGCCAACTGCAGCTTACCAGGCGAAGTTCTGTCCCTGAATTACTTTGTGTCAGCACACACAATGGTGGGAAGGAAGCAGTAGTGATACGTATCTCTAACTGCAAGCTTCCAAACCTTCAGATGTGGCAAGAGTAATTAGGTGAGGGAACTGGGAGAGATATAAAGCCAGGACCGTTTCTAACTTTAACAAGTTCATGATGGGTCCATAATTTATATGACTTGCTGCTGAGCAGTCCTAAACTACCAGCGGTACACACACCACTGTCCCATTGGCCAACACAGAATAGTCATGCATATACCATTAATGGCTTCAAGCCCTCAGGAACTTGTTAATCCCACTTTAATATTAGTGATGCAGAGAGTTCAAGGGTAGAAATTACTAAAAGTCAACAAAACAAATATTGTAACTGAAAACACTTGCCTATCCTTTAAATTCAGAAATTTGTTTCTCATATTCATCAACTGAATTTACTTGTATTTTTAAGTATGAAAAATCTAAAATAACACTATACTTTTAAGTAACTGAGCTGCACCTACAACTATTTTATATCCCATTTTAAATTTTTTATTTAAACTAAAGTTTGCATTTACCTATAACAAAGATTTTTTTCCTGCTACTCCCCATATTTTACACTTCATAAAAGTAAAATGAATTGCTCCTAAAGTTTATTATGTTTAAGGATAGTTAATAGTTAAGAACTAACTGCTCTTCTAAAAAGTTAGAAAATATATGGTACTTATAGTGTAAGAAGGTAAGTTTTTGACAATCGACACTAACAAATCTACATTAAACACACCCCAAATTAGAGAGGCAAACTTCTGAATTTCAAGGAACTCTGGATACTGAAAAACAAGGCAATGGGCAGCGATCATTTATTTTACCTTCAATAATTGTTAAGTGTATGGAGAAAACCTTTTCGTGATAAAGAAGCTCTAGAAAAAGAAATTTCTAAAATATTCATAAAAAGAATGAAAAATAAAGAAAAGCAATGTGACTAAGTTGACCATCACAGTTTAAACACCCATGGAGTTACCTGTAATCACCAGGCTACTCACTACCTGTTGCCTCTCCTTGAAAGAGCACTACCCTCTGGCTCCTCTGCAAGCCAACTGCTACAACGGCAATGTAACTCGAGTGGAACTGAGCAAAACCACATTCCATCTCGCATGGACCACTGAGCTCCCTTTGTTGAGATAACTTACTAAGTGGTCTCCCAAACTCTACTTGTGACAGCCTCACTATTTTGTTTCCTCAAAGGCGTCAGATGCTATTACTTAAAATTTAATCTGACTTCTGGACCTACGCCTTTTCAGTGTCTCCACACTCCAGTCATACTCAGGTTGATTGTAAACTCCCTGCCACAGCCTGCTTTGATTCCTGACTACATTCAGAGTCACCCCGGCTATCTCCTGCCCCCTTCACACTATACCTTAAAGATAACTCCCTGCTGGGAACTCTTGGCCAGTCCTCCCTGATCTCCACAATATTCATTCCACAGTGCCACTCTTGATAAAACATGCTTCTGAGTAATTCCACCGTTGCACCAGCTAGACTCAACCCTGTCACCAATATTCCTCAAAAGGGAAAGTTTCCACAAACCTTCTCTGGATGTAGTTCCCCAGAGCGTACTTGTTTCACAACACCTATCACATTTTATAAAATTCTTATTTTCTATTTTAAAGTTTCTCTCCCTTATTAGAAAGCAAATAACTCAAGAGCAAAACTCCAGCAAGGAAGGGCTTATCAGCCACACAGTGACCATTTAATAAACATTTCAACTGAAATGTCACCACCCATGCAATGGAAGATTAATACACCTTGACTTAATGAACTCACCAAGACCTTTCAGTTCCTCTTCCAACACACGTGCAGAATCCATTTACTTTGCTGCTAGCATAGCCACATCCACCTCCATTATCCTGCATGTAGACTACTTTCACAGCATCCTAGATGACTTTTCGGCTTGCATCAAACCTACTACCACTACCACTTCCTCTCTCTCCCCCTCTGCCTCCCTCCCTCCCTTTCTGCCACCCTCTTTTCCTCTTCCTCCCTCCCTCCCTTCCTCTCTCTCTCACACACATACACACACACACCCTATTCCCTATAGCATCTGTGTCTAGCAGCAAGAGTGATATTGGTAAAATGGGAATTTTTTAAAAATCCTTTTAAAAATGGATTAAAAATCCTTTTAAAAATGGATTAAAAATCCTTTTTAAAATGGATTAAAAGTCCATTTTAAAATCCTGGTTTATATTTAGACCAACATTCATTTAACTCCCATAGCACTTTACAACACCATGTATGACCAGATTCCTACCATGTTTTAAACTCTGCCTTCTTTTAAATATTCTAATATGAGAAACTATTTCCAACCTCAGAGGCATTACTCAGGTTCTTTCCTCTAACTAGAAGCCTCTTCAGCCAGCTCCTGATCCTCAGGGCTCACCTCAAGCATCACAATCCAATACCTTTTTCATCCCTCTGGGATCATCTATCATATTGCCACAGCTGCTGTTTTTGTACTCATTACCATCTCAAATTATACTGATTTGTTCACTTGTTTAGTATGTGTATCTATCCCTCAGGAGGGCAGGAACCTTTGTGTTTTATCATCACAGTACCCCCATGTGTCTAGAAACAGCCTCACAAACAGCAAGAGACTCCACAGCATTTCTAAAACAAAAGAATAAACCAAGAAAGGTGACTTATTTAAAATACACATGAAACAAGTGACAGAAATAGGTAACTAGCCTACTAAACAGAGCAGGAAATAGTCTACTGTGAGCACCTGCACATAGACAGATTAGTGTTACTGGGATCTATTATGCTTAAGCACCAGGAGTGTCAAAACTCAATGCAAAGAAGTAGAACAATTTTACATCCTATATGCAAGCCCACATATGACACTGCATTCACTTTAGAGAATTCTTTATTTTTGACAATGAAAAAACCCCTGTAGAAACATTTTAAAACCACTGGCCACTTCGTTTTCTTAAAAACTCACTTCAGCAGTGGTACTTATCTGCAAATGATTAAATTTATACTAAAACTTCAATGTCTTCAGTATCAGGTCCTTCCAATATAAGGGGTCAGTCTTTGAGATAGATTCTGACTACTACATACATGTAAGAAGCTGCCTCACATACTCTTCTTTCTTGGAAATAACACTGCAACTCAAAGCCAAGAACTATATAACATTCATCAAAAAGTCAGCAGCCTCTTGTAATTCCTTACTGACTTCAGTTTTGAACAAGGGAGGAAAAACTGTCAGTCAGTACTTGCCAGTAATAGGAAAAGCTTTGAATCTTTATTCAAATGTCATCCTATCACAGAAATGAGAAATATACAAATGCAATGAAGAGAAAACTGTATCTAAATATCTTGTATTTGCCTGAATAAATCTTAAGAAAATGACTTATAAAAAAAACAAGACTTAACTAGTAAAAAAAATTTGTATGTGAGGTTAACCAGTCATATTTTAATAATGACTATTTATAGGTGACTTGAAAGTAACAAAAACTCAACAGCCGTTCTTTAGGTTCCCATAAGTAATTTTCAGCAGCAGATCATCAAACTTCAGATCAAGCAACACTTACCTTGGTATGGTAACACATTTAGTATTACAATTTTGAGTGGTGATGGCTTTCTCAAGCTCATCTAATCGTCCTGTTTTCTTTAGCTTCTTCACCAGACTTTTCACTGCTTTCTCACACCACTTTTCTTCCTGTCCATTCTGCTCTCCTCCGCCTGCTCCCCCAGATCCACCAGCTGATTTCTTCCATCCTAGAAGTCTCTTCACCACTGGTGGAGTGAATGGCAAGATGGACGACATGCTCTTACTAAAGGCAACAATCCACACTATAGAAAGAGCCTTGCGAATCTACCCTAGAAAAGATATTGAAAAGATAATTCAAAGACTAACTTTAAAACACAGAAATGATTTCAATATATTATAGAAAGCAAGCTGCACAACAGAATAGAAATTCAAATTACTACTTTCTCTATATACTTTCTCACATTCTCTTTTCCACTCATGGAAATGTTAAGGACTCAAAGTCTTGAACAAATATAACCTTGCAAGTAAAATCTACCAATATCTTCAAAACTATTATCACTACCAGTACTATTTGATTCCTTACTCTTAATATCAATAAAGTATTTTCACAAAACACAAGTTTTCTTCATTTTTGGAACGTCAACCCATTCTTAAAAGATTTAACAAAGGTATATTAAAAATACAAGTTCGATCTCCCTAAGTTTTTAAGACTGAAGTATCTTAAAGCAAAATCAGAAGACACATAAAGAGAAATGCATCAAGTGTGAAGTAAACAAGAATTTCTTTTAAATGAAAGATAATCTGTGGAGAATAGACTCAGTTCACTTTCACCAGTCCTTGAGAGGATCTTTACTCAGCCTCTTCCTTTTTAACATATGTACTACATTTTCAATTATATCTAAGTACTAACACACACAGTGAGCAAAGTCCTTCTTCCTTCAATGTGAAATTCTTTACCAGAAGTACCAAATACCAGTTTTACCTATTACCCTGTGGAAAATGACGATTTATTTTCCTTACACCCTTTACTTTTCCTTCCTACCACAAAATAATTATCACCCAATTATATTTAAATAACTATGTATATAATATTGTTACCATTAGTGAACTACCATATAAGCATGTTTCTTTTTGTATTTTTCATTCTCCAGAATATAAAAACTTGTATTTTTTCATTTGCTTAGCTTTCTATGCACCTATCACAATTCTTCTTACTCTCTGCATCCTTCCATTAAATCTTCCACATACTGGAAAACTCCCACACAGTATTTCAGAAATCAGCTAGCCTCTTACTCATTGAACCCTCACATCCTAAAGTCCTATATCCTCCCAGTTCAAACTCAACTAATACTCTGACCAGAGGCATACTATTTTCCTAGGAACTTTCTTCACCTCTCTCTGGGGTAGAGCTCCTATTTCATATGTTTGTCTTTCTTGGTTCACTGAATTCATCTTTTCAGTGAAATGTGTCATTCTTGAGAAAGACATGGGGACAACGTAGAAACCTTTTAAAATACTGCACTGGAAATCATTTTTATATACAATGTCATTTTTTTTTCAAATGACATTGCTTCTTCCATTTACTATAATGATTAAAATGTGATTCTGTCATTTTTCTTAAGCAAAAAAAGCAAACTCTAGATATTGTCATTTGGCCTCCAAAGAATTCAGTATCCATCTACTAAAAATATGGCACTCTTTCCCAATCATTTTCATAACCTAGAGTCACCTATTACCCCCAAATTAGCCTTGCTGATTCAAACATTTCATTTCACAGTTGGTTTGAGGCGGGATCCAAAACAAAGTCTACACAGTTCATTTGTACAATTATGCCTAAATCTTCTTTTAATCTGATGCAGTCCCTCCTTCTCTCTTTTCCCCCTCATGAAATTGAGGAAAACTTGGGTCAGCTGGTCTTTAAATGATCTTATATTCCAGAATTGTCTACTTTCACTGTGGTGTCCTTAAATCTTATGTAATGGAAATTAGCTCACTTTCTCTTCTTTGTGTGCCCTTTGTCACTGGATTTAGAGCCCTTTATGATAGCAATTACACCTGCAAAAACCTTTTTTCTAAATAAATTCACAGGTTCCTGGAATTAACACACAGACTTACCTTTTAGGGAGTTTACCATTCAATGGGCTACCATTTAATCGTCTATTCAAAGAAGTCTATGGCTGATATTTGTTTTCTTTTCTCTGAGACTGAAAATTTCGACTTTTGTACATATATAATATGCAGTAACTTATTTATATTACCTTACAAAATATATATAATTTCAAATAATACCAATAGTGTTTCTAAAACTAAGATTATGGAATAAAGCTGAAGATTTCTTTGCAACTCTACTAACACTGGACAATTAAAATACTATACTGTATTGTAAAGTCACCTGAAATAACATTTTTCTGTAGGGCTGTCACTAATTCAGGAAAAATTAGTTATGTGTCTTCAATTTTCAAGGAATTTTTATTTGGGTGCAACTTTACAGAGAATATGTAATACATTTATAGGATTCCAAATGCAAATTATACAACAAGGTATATAGTCTATTCAGAGAAGTCTCTTTACTATTTCTGTTACCCTATTTCCTTTTCTGGTCCCAAACATGCAATCATTTTTATAAAGCTGTTGGCTTTGTCTATTCAGTGTTTTACAACCATGTATATACATATCTATCCACATTCTCACCACCTTGCTCCACAGAAAGGAGCAAATTATAAAAATCGGAGCAGAAATTAACACAATAGAAACCAAGAAAACAATACAAACACAATGAATCAAAAAGTTGCTTCTTTGAAAAAATAAATAAAATTGATAAACCGTTAGCCAAACTTATCCATAAAAGGAAAGAAAACACTCAAAATTCATGCATTAAGGAATGATAAGGGTGAAGTCACTACAAATCCTATAGAAATTCAGAAAATAATCATTACCTACTTGGAAAATCTTTACTCTCTTACGATGGAAAACACAGAAGAAATGGACAGATTCCCAGATACGTCTGGTTTACCAAAGCTGAATCAAGAAGATATAAAAATTCTCAATAACCCAGTATCAGTTATTGAGATTGAAAATGTAATTAAAAACTTAACAACAAAGAAAAGCCCTGGTCCTGATGGAGTCACTGCTGAATTCTACAAGAAATTTACAGAAGATTTAATGTCAATACTCTTCAAACTCTTTAATGAAATTGAAAGGAAAGCAATACTCCCTAACTCCTGGAGGCAAGTATTATTCCTGATATCAAAACCGAGAAAGACACAACCAAAAAAGAAAACTACAAGCCAATCTCCCTAATGAATATAAATGTAAAAATTCTCTGTAAAAAATACTAGCAAACAGAATGCAGCAAATCATCAAGAGGATTATACACTATGGCCAAGTGATATTCAATCCAGCAATGGAGGAATGGTTCAATATATGCAAATCAATAAACATAATACACTATATCAACAGAACTAGAGACAAAAATCACATGATCACCTTAATAGAGACAGAAAAAGCTTTTGATAAAATCCAACACTCATTCATAATAACAACCCTACAGAAAATTGGAATAGATGGTCTTCATCTCAATCTGATAAAAGCCATCTATGACAAACCAATGGCCAACATCATATTAAATGGACAAAAACTGAAAGCTTTCACTCTAAAATCAGGAACAAGACAAGGATGTCCACTATCACTCCTTTTCAACACAGTTCTGCACACATTAGCCAGAGCAATTAGACAAGAGAGAAAAATAAAAGGAATAAGGATAGGGAAAGAAAAAGTGAAATTATCATTATCTGCAGATGACATGATACTCTACATGGAAGATGCCCCCAAACTCCACCTAAAGACTTCTACAGTTAATAACCAAATTCAGTTGCATAGCTTGATACAAAGTCAGTACTCAAAAATCAATAGCATTCTTGTACACAAACTTATTGAGACAGAAATTAGGGAAACTACACCCTTTATGATAGTATCCAAAAAAATGAAATACTTAGTAATCAATCTAACAAAGGAAGTAAAAGATCTATATTTTGAAAATTACAGTACTCTGAAAAAGGACATGGAAAAGGATATCAGGAAATGCAAAAATATCCCTTACTCCTGGATAAGAAGAACCAATATAGTGAAAATGGCTATACTCCCAAAACTGTTATACAGATTTAATGCAGTCCCAATCAAAATACCATTAGCATACCTCACAGAACTAGAGAAAACTTCTAAAATTCATCTGGAAACAGAAGAGACCTAGAATAGCAAAGACAATCCTGGGCAACAAAGGCAAGGCAGGAGGCATCACAATCTCTGACTTGAAATTATACTACAAAGCTACTGTGATAAAATCAGCATGGTATTGGGGAAAAAAAAAAGCACCTGAGGACCAATGGAACAGATGAGAAGATACGGACACAAGTATAAACACACTCAGCTACCTTATCTTTGACAAAAGGGCTAAACATATTCACTGAAAGAAAGATAGCCTCTTTAATACATGGTGATGTTTGAAAAACTGGCTCCCTACATGCCAAAAACTAAAACTAGATCCATATCTATCCCCATGCACTAAACTAAAATCAAAATGGATCAAATATCTAAATATTAAAACAGAAACACTAAACCTACTGGAAGAGAAATTAGGTAGAAATCTTGAAGACATAGCGGTATACAAAGACTTCATGAACAAAACCCAAACTGCATGGGAAATATTTCAAAGAATCAACTCATCTTATTAAATAGATCTCATCCTATTAAAAAGCTTTTGTACCTCAAAAGAAATCACCAACAGAGTGAAAAGATAACCCACAGAGTGGGAAAACATTTTAGCTAACTGTCTCTCAGACAAGGGACTTATATCTAGAACATACAAAGAATTGGAAAAAATCAGAATCCCCCCAAATTCAAAGACCCAATCCAAAAATGGGCATCTGAGATGAATACACAGTTCTCAGATGAAGAAATACAAATGGCAAATAAATATATGAAAGAATGTTCAACATTATTGGTCATTTGAAAAATGCCAAGTTAAAACAACAGAGAGTTCATCTCACCCCAGTAAGAATGGCTATCATCAAGAAATCGACCCATAACAAATGCTGAGGGGCTGTGGGGAAAAAGGAGCCCTTCTTCATTGTTGGAGGCAATGTAGACTGGTGCAACCACATTGGAAATCAGTCTGGAGATTCCTCAAAAAACCTAGAATCAGAGGTACCATTTAATCCAGCTATTCCCCTTCTGGATATTCTCCCAGAAGAATTAAACACAGCATACCACAGCGATATATGTGCACCCATGTTACAGTAGCAAAATTTGTCATAGCAAAATCTTCGAAATA